AATGTACATACCTTAATTAAAAAATACTTTATTGCTAAAAAATGCTAACCATCATCTCAGCCTTCAGCGAGTCGTAATCTTTTTGCTGGTGGAGGGTCTTGCCTCAATTTGTAAAAAACGCAATATCTGCGAAGCGCAATAAAATGAGGTATGCCTGTATAGTACTTGGGGTCTAAAGTTTGTTTTCTGCGATTGGGAGGCATTCAGAAAACAGTACATATCCAAGGTGCTAGGTGCCTTGGCTGTTGTTGCCAATTGGTAGGGGTATGAAAGAAAAGTGCCTTTACCACAAAAAATGTGAATAGAAAACAAAGGGTGACCATATTGATGCCATCAGTTAAGTCCTAAGTTACTTTCACTATTGGGGAAAGAGCTCTTGGGAAGAAGGTTGTGTCATTGAACTTTGTAGTGTTGTGTAATTTAATGCTGTCCTGATGGGGAGCTTACTGAGAATGCAAGCCTTTTTTTTTTTTTTTTTTTTTTTTATCTGCCTTCAGCTTGACTCAGTTTGTTTAATATATTAAACTGAGCAGTAGCTGATGCTGCAAAGATCAAAAATTGGACAGACCAGATGGCCTGTTCCAGTACAGATCTCCCTTAGATTCTGTAACATGAGGTGAGATGTTACCACAAACTGAAAAAATGAGAACTGAAGCAGAGTGTCATGCTTTGTAAGCAATTAAACAGACCACTTCAAGAGTTCAGAATTAAGCATTTTACTCTCTTGCACAAACTGTAAATAAAAGAACTTCCAGAAAACCAACAGATGGTCTGTGTATAAAACAAGCTATGCTTAATCCTTCCAGTATAGATTCTAGTTCTGTTTATTTTCAGCGTGTTCTGCGGAAGTGTTGGTGCTGTTGCCTCTCCCTCCCCCTTCTCTGGCTGGAAAAATACAACAATCTCCAAAAGCCACATCTCTCACACCTAAGCATTAAACTGACTGCATAAATAAAGGCAAAAAGTTCTGTTCGACAAAAGTTGGCATACTCTAGATCCAGGTTCGGCAGAAACTAACAGAGCTTGGTCCTTGCCCAGAGGTGGCAGTTGGCAGAGACAGCCGCTAGATGGTGCATTCTCTCAAACCTGCTTGGCAGGCCGGATTAAATATCTTTACAGGCTAGATCCAGACTCTGGGGTGTAGGTTACCAACTTCTGTTCTAGATTCTTACTTGGATGCTGCTTTTGTGCTCTTGCACTCTGTAATACAAAAGGTGCTTGTTATGATATGGTATGCATAACTGATGGGGAATATAATCATGAAGTGTAAATATGCACTTCTATGGACAGTTAATAGACTAAAATTTTTGGCAAATCCTTACAGAAAAATCTTGCCCCTGTTTAAGGTGTGCAGTAGTATCTAGGCTTACTTGAAAACTGGAAGTGCTTAAACTTGTGTGAGATGTAACGCATGCAGCCATTGAATTCCCTGCCCCCAGATACCTGGTACCGCAGAGTTCATTTATTTTCAATGTACACATGGTTCCCATAAGGACTAGGAAGAGAAACTGCAAGATTTTAAAAGGTGAGTGAGGGGCTGATGTATGGTTTGTCAATACAAAGTGTCTTAAGATTATCCAGGAGGCATTGCAGATCTCTGGTGTGAAAAATGAAGATGCTGTCCTTGCTATTTGGTAACTCTCTACAACTAATTGAGGCTTTTGAATTCCGCATCGCTGCCTCAGTCGACTCTTGACAGCAACTAGCAACTCTTTTCTTGCACTGCACTACATTAAAAGTATATTTGAACCTCCTATGAATTGGTGAAATGCTCAGTACCTGTTTAATGTAGTTTTTAGTCTCTGGAGGCTAGTTAAGTGAGGGCTAGTTCTTGACAATAGCACTCTTCTTTTTTTCATCTCTTAGTAGTGGTAATGATAGGGTGCTAAAGAAAGCAAGCAGGTCTCTGGGATCTTGTCCATTATACATAAACTTACTCTGAGGTCACAGTACCACAGTTGGTTCTAACAAGCTATATTTAAGAAAGTGAATTTGGATGTGGTGTAGTTCTTTTTAAAACATCAAATAATAAAACTTGCTTATGCATCAATCAAATAATGTTATGAAGGGTGTACTAAGATAACATAGAAGTTATGCAGTGTTACTGCAAATTAAAAATACCATAGTAGTCTAATCAGCGGGACAACTACTTTAATATGGTACTAATCCTCTGGATTAAAATCTAATTTGAATTGTATTGTGCTTTCAGTACCTCTTCTGTAACATGATATTAGCATCTTTTAGCTTGAATTTGACCCCTCAATAGAACAGAAACATATCCAGGTCTTTTGCATGTACCCACAAGACGAATGGTTATTGGTATTGCATTTCATAACCTCATATTAACTTGATTTGAAGAATTGGTCGCTGTCCCACAGTACGAACTAACATGGTTGTTGTGGCTCGATTACAGAATATTTCTTTAAGCCAAATACCCAGCATCTCTCTAACTGTTCCTGCAGAGAGGACAAAACATTGTCTATACTTAACACAGTAGCTTTGTTTTCATATAATGGTAAAGTTGAAGAGAAATCTGTATCAGAACATTTTATGGTGAGCTTGGGGCCTGAACTTCCATAGTAGCTAAAATATAAATGAGTGTCTTCCTCTCTCAAATTCCTAGCATAGTTGGGAATAAAATAGTTCTGCTGTTTTAAAATACTGAAATAGTGAAATTGATTCTAATAAGTAACTGATGAGCTAATAAATATTTGAAGAAGGAAATGCATCAGCACTTTATTTGAACAGATGAAACTTTATTAGCTGCTTGATATGATGAACCTCCTGCAGTCAGTGTAGCTTGAAAGGAATGCAGCACTAGTATTGCAAAAATATATTCTTTAAAATTCATATTTTTGTAGCAGGTAAGCTGGATACAAACAAATGGCTTAACGACACTGTATTAGAGTAAATTAAATCTGTCTGTGTAGTGATGGGGTGATGCAGGTAGCTGAATTTCAGAAAGAAGTTACTGTTGAATACTGCCAATTGCTCAGTCTTCTTTCCATTCTTAGATTTGGGAATGGATGATGAAGGAGATGATGACCCAGTTCCTCTTCCAAATGTTAATGCAGCTATATTAAAAAAGGTAAGATGGTGGTGGCAATAGTAACCTTGCGCAAAAAAAAAAAAAATGCCAGAGTTAAGTGCACATTATGGATGTGTTGAAACACTTTCAGTAATCCTTTGTAGGGTGTGTCTTGGAGAATGCAAACTGTGTGTGGTTAGAGCAGGCTCTGCAGACCTGTAGGTCTAGACATCAGACTGATTTGCCTGCCCAAAAGCATACATTTCAAGCACTGAATGAAGGATTGTGATGCTAGCAGCAGTGGCAGTCATGTGTACCCAGTATACTGTGTAGGAACCATGCTTGTGATTGCTCCCCTCCCCTCCCACTTGCACACTGTTGGTGTCGTAGGAATCTTTGTTAATTTTGGTCACTGTGTGGTGTCCCAAGCATGCAGTTTGGCACAGCAAATCCAAATGAAAGCTGGTACATTAATCGACTGAAGTTGGTTCTTCTCTTCCTGTTCCAACAAGAAGAGACTGTGGATAAGCTTTCCCTAGAGAACCAGTTTACGTTGTTTTGGCAGACTCTGAACTGGTTAAGGACCATCTTACCACCATGGGTAGGGATCGGTACTCAAAACACTCCTGGAATCAATCAGGCTCTGGCACCAAATTAGGCAGACTTCACAGCAAACTGTATTTGCTCCTTTTTGTAGTGCACAGGTGACATTTTGCAAACCCAAACAGACTAAAAGTTCAACATCCCTTGATAAATATCAAAGTTTCTGTTAGCTGATCACTCATGTTCTTTCTGCCATGAAATTGGTAACTAGTTTGACTGTCTAGAGTAGTACTATCCACTGAAAGTGCTGTCTGCTAATAAGAATTGCCCATATTCCTTCTTTCACAAGTGGACGAAACTATTTTTGCAGGAGCATGCAGAATCTCAGGCTGTAATATCATTGTACAGCATGTATGAGTCTGCTGTCTTCCTAACATTTTTCTGGGGATATTGTCTAAAAATGTGCTCCTGTGGCTCTGGTGTTGCAGGAAACTTGCAGAACCAAAGAATTTATTACCAACTTACTATATAAGAATTTTAAACAGCTGTGGAACTCCTGAGTCTTACGTTTTTAAGTTGAGACTCTTCTCTTACCATGAGGCAGTAGCACTGAGGTAGCCTGCTGGTCCACTGTTTTGTGTATCTTTTTTTCTTTGCCTTTGGCTCTGTTAATGTAGTCTGAATTCAAACTGGGGCTACAGGAAGATTTTGCTTGAGAGAGCTTAACATTAACTTTAATCTCTTGACATTTTAATCAGGTGATCCAGTGGTGCACCCACCACAAAGATGATCCTCCTCCTCCTGAGGATGATGAGAACAAAGAGAAAAGAACAGATGATATCCCTGTATGGGACCAAGAATTCCTGAAGGTAGACCAAGGAACACTCTTTGAACTTATCCTGGTAAGTCAGCTGGTGGTGGATACCCTCTTATTTTCAGCACAACTATATTCTCTTCAGACTTCTGAACTGGTGTAGAAGCAGTAGAAACTTAGTCCAGCTTTCCCAGTTCAGAGTGAAACTATATTCAAAAGTAGACGTGTAGAGATACTTTTGGTCAGTGTGTGAAACATGAAGGATTATGAAGTGTAAACAAATCTTGGCAGGCATATACATCCATGAAGGCAGAATAATGATGTGAAGACTTTAAATCTCTACTTTTCTTGCAGGCTGCAAACTATTTGGACATCAAAGGCTTGCTTGATGTCACATGCAAGACTGTTGCAAACATGATTAAAGGGAAAACTCCAGAAGAAATTCGTAAGACATTCAATATCAAGAATGACTTCACTGAGGAGGAAGAGGCACAGGTATTCCATAGTTCCAGCGAAATCAAACTTTGGCCTGTTTATATGCTGAAACAACTCTTCCCTGTGTGTTATATTAATGTAGCTAGGTTGTTGGATAAAAGGATTCTTGGTATCAGTTTATTTTAATATGTAATGCAGTCTTGGTGGGATAAGTGCTCCAACAAACTTCCACAAGTTGATGTAGTGCAGCATGTTGACTGTTTGCAGTTAACCACAGCACTTCTAAAGGATATGGTGACACAACTCACTACAACTAAGCCAAAACGATAGGACAGCCTATCCTGCTCTGCCTTGACATAATGTTCTGACTAATAGCATGGTCTTAAGCCGCTTATTTTAAAGCAGAGCGTATTGTTGGAAGCTGCTGCTAAGCCTGAGATGCTCAGAACTTCCTAGTAAGATATTTTCCAGAAACAAAAGTAAAAATAAAAGATGGCCCACTTCAAAATAAGACTGTTAAATGACCATATAAATACAGAATATCAGTATACATTAGGAATGGTTAAACAACTGAATGCAAAGACAGTTTCTACATACTTCACCTCTTCCTAAATCCTGTACGGAGATGCAGTTTGACCTAAACTATGTAGTGAATGATTGGATAGGAGTGTGTATGTGTAATAAACTTGATCTGCGTTGGTGAATGTAAAGGTCTGCTTTAAAAATTAGCAAGCTTCTAATGTAAGTAAAAATGGAGTCTTTCTTGATCGTGCTTTCTTGCTAAAGTGGAGTAATTGGGATATTTTGGGGAATGTTGTTAGCACAAGTAGATAAAGCTTGTTGCGGTGTGTCCTCTTAAACCTTCGTTTTCTTTCAGGTACGCAAAGAGAACCAGTGGTGTGAAGAGAAGTGAAGTTTTGTGCCTGGCACTCTTAACACTGTAAGGATTGTTCCAAATACTAGTTGCACTGCTCTGTTCATAATTGTTAATATTAAGACAAATGCAGCAGTAAATGAAGTCACGTTAGCAGGATATTGTTCCTTTGCATGTGTAGTGGTTTTTGAGTACCAATTTAAACCCTGAGTTTTTACCAGTGTAATCGGATGTCTTTTATGTTACTATGAATAAAACTGAACTAAGTGTGGGTTCTGTATGGAAAGTAGCATTCCGGGCTATCCCCTTTCATTTACCATTAATTGTTTGTGCCCAGCTACAGTGTTATATTATTGCTTATTTGACATCTGACATTCTTCAGCTCCGCCATTGTAAATAAAACCACAGCAAAAATTTCTGAAATAGCTAACTTTTTCATTTTTAATTCCTGGGGTATTAATGGCTTTAAAGAATTAAAGGATTTCTTGAGGAAGCAGTCTGAGTGAAAAGGTGCTGCGTTTCTTCCCAAACAGTTAAGTATGAAGAATGGTGATGCTTTATGGTTCTTGTTTTGCGTTATAAAATCTTTTTTTAAGTGAGGACTTTCCAGCCAAGTTATCTTTGCCCACTAAGGATGATACAAATATGGGTTTGGCAAATGTGGCTGGAACTGGACAAGCCAGTGACAATTGGAACACTTCAACCGTGTCTTGGAGATCTGTCTGTAGCTGATAGATGTAAGCTGTACTGCATAGCTTTTTAAAAAGCTTTTAATAGTGTAAAAGCTAAATCCCAGTTTGACCAAAAAACATGACTGACTACCAAAGCAAATGTAATTGATCAGTGTGTGCATTAGTGGCTGGCTTTAGGTAATCCTAAGCATGCCAGGGTCTAGCTCTTGAAACCTAGTTTTGTGTCCACAACAAATCTTTATCCTGTGGAGTACACAAGGCTCCAGCTTTTAGAGACTTGTCATAATTGCATACAAAACACAAGCTAGTGCAGTAGCTAGCTTGACGACTTTGGACAAAGCCACTTGCAACTAGTTTAAATATTAAGTGGTTTTCTGATTTTTTATTTTTTTTTTAGTTTTTTTTTATACTTCCCTTATAGGGAGTTAAGGGATGGTAGTGTTAAACATTTAAGGTGTGTTCTTGGCTTGTATTGCATTCCATCTTCTGTATAAACCTTAGAATAGAATAAACTTTAATAAACATACTTATCTCCCCTTTTAAATAGTGTTGCACTTCTGAATGTTAATAAAGGGTTTGTTTTTAAAAATTTCTGTATTAGAAACTGCTTGATGGCCGTAAGGACGCTCTGGTTGTAACTAACATGTCTTGCCAAATGGTAGAAAACTTCTTGTACACTTTCTTGTTGCTGTGCAGATCTTCATTTACATCAGTTCTAACACCTTTGGACTTTGAGGGTTAACTGGTTTGCATTACAGTTTCTCCAGTTACAGCCTACACAACCTAATAATAATCCAGGCAAATGGGTAAGCCTTAAAGGGTGGTTGACAACAAAAAAATGGAGTTGTGACTACCAGTCAAGCACACTTTTTTCAATTTGTTCCTCTGGGGTAGATTTTACCCCAAACCAGCCTTTAACTGGATACTACTTCTTGTTCTGTTCAAAAAACCCCTTGGCATTGGTAAGAGGAGTAGCAGAGTATCCTAATCCTAGCGTAGAAGAGGACCCACTTGCCTCCAAAGAATTAATGCTAACCACTTCCACAAGAAATCTGACCCTTCCTAGGTCGCATTCTTTCCTGTCTACTATGCTTGGTGGAATGAGTCCATCCTGTTTGAGGGTGAAATATATTCAAGCTGTTGATTTGTTTGCTGTTTAAAAAGTGAGGGTGAATGTAAGTATTGAGGAACATGTCTTCACTTTCAATTCTTTATCCTGTAGTATAGCTAGTAACAAAGGATGAACCTGTCCCAAGAGGCTTGTATATGCTGGTTAGGCCACCTCTCTTACAGTGGATTTTATGCTAGAGCTGTCTAAGTCTGGGCTATTAAACAGTAGTTTTCTTTAACCTGAAACTTCTTCATAACAAGTAACCCTACTCCTGCTTCTCTCATTACTGTTAACAGCAGGTGCTAGACTAGCTAGTCTAGGGTCTGGTACCCATTCTGCTTGCCTCTGCTGTATCACAAAGTGAGCAGTGGATAGCAGCATTTAACCTGTGGGGAAAAGGGAGGGGTTGGGCACTGGGAGGGAGCAGAGATGCATTTATCGTTTTGCAGTGGCTGAGTATAAAGTACCTTTTATTCTCTGTGCAGTGAGAACTGTTGATCTGCAGTGAATGGTGTTCAGAGTACTTCTGGGTCATGTGCATTGGGGCAGCAGAAAGGAAAATCTCTTATTTCTAGCCATACAAAATACAAGTCAAGGAGAAATTCTCTTGCTTTTTCAGTATGGCCCCTTCTAATGTGTGCCAGTGTTTTATATTTTATGTAATGGTAAAATCTTGTGCTGATCAGGCAGCAATAGCAAAATCTGTCTCAATGTTTGAAACTAGAGACTTGTACCATTCTGCCATTGCTTCAGTTGTGAAGGGTGCTGTCCTTGTGACTTAGTATGGTCAGAGAGAGCTTCCAGCAGTAAAATGTTGGAGAGTATGTGGGCAGTTCTGTTGGATCTTAAAACCTTCCCATAGATAAAAGCCTGATACTGGGAATTCACCAATGTACCTATACCGCTACTGGTGCACACTGCATCAGAAAAAGGCACTTGATGCCTTGCAAAAGGAAAATCTGGGCAACTACAACAGTAGAATAAACCTGGCCAGCATCCACCTGTATATGGTACTTGTTTCCTGCTTCTACAAGTCTATTCCTTGGTATATCAGAGCAGACTGACTGGCTTCTTCCCACAGCAAGTTTCTCATGTACCTTGGCTAAGCACTAATGAACAGTCTGAATGCTGTGCTCTTTCAAAACTCCCAAGAGTCTACACAATGGCACCTGGGAGCTCAAGTTGTGGCTTCTTGTGCAGTTCCATTGGCTTGCAAACCAGCCTGAGGCAACCTTCCAAAATGCACACTTACCTGAGAGCCACTAGTTTGTACTTCCTTCATTTCTGTTTCCAGTTGTATGTTCAGATAGTGCATCTCCACTCTTGACTTGAGGATAAGTGTGTCCCTTCTGTCATCTTTAACTTTTGTACAGATTACATCCAGTAGTTATCCTTGGCTTTGATGCTCTCTTTATAGCGAGCACCTTCTAGGTACAGGTTTGGAGAAGTGGGTGGCTTAGGAAATTATTACAAGACTCAAACATGCATTTAGAGTCTGCACAAGCCAGTTGAAGGGATTGAGAGGTTAAAGCATTATAGTAGCAGTTGGTTGTACTCTTAGCAGACCTGTTACTATATGAATTACAGCAGCACAGGCAGCTGCAATAGGCATTTTACAATCAAGACAAAAAGCATACAAAGAAACTTCTATGCCTGACCTGCTTTCATGCTCTAAAGCAGCTTGGAATAATTCTTGCACTGCTGTAGTTGTGCCCTCTTTGGCTGGGTATTATACCTTGGTATAATCAGGAATGAGTATAGCTAGTTTTTTTGCTGAGGCAGTGTGAAAAGATGAGGGTAATCAAACCATTGTACATAGAAACAGATCAGTGTTTCAGCTGCTGCTGTCTTCCCTGTCGTTAGCTTCCTCATAGGAGACTACATGCAATTATTCTAAAAGGCCTTTTTCCACATGAATAGTGGAAACGCTCCAATCCTCTTAGTGTTTTTGACAGAAGAATTTGACGAGAGATCTCTTTATAGGATTATAATCTCCAGTGGCTCATCCTGAATGGCCATCTTGGCAGATTATTTTATTTATAAAGCTATAAACATATTTTGAACATGAAAGCCAAAAAATACAAACTCAAAACTAAAAAAAACAACAAAAAAACAAATGATGGATAAGTTGTTGGACAAATGAAAGTACAGCTGCAAAACATTTATCCCTGCTACATACATAGTGGTTTTACATGGTTTAATGAAGTGGTATTTCCATGACTTCTACATTCAAACAGGTTTCAGGATATCGAATGTATAATTAAATGGAGTGAACTTGCTATTTAAGAACTAAAAATATTGCTGCAGTAAAAACCTTAGGGCAAAGTTTTTTGTTTTAAAAAGAAAAAGAACAGAAAGTAACACTTCATGTATCATTTCTAAAGACGGATACTTTTTTTGGTATTTTGTCTTTTGGTTTCTATTTGTGTAATAACACTATAGGATGTTAAAATGTGTATTTATACATATGTTGGTGTATGAAAGGCCTCTGAAGGTCTTTTGCTGCTTGGTTTTAAAAAAATTATCAAATTATGCTCTCAGTTAAATCAGTATAAACAGGAGTTGGCAATAAAGGCAGAAGACTACTTTCATGCTGCCATAGCTTGAGGGTACAGAAGAAGCACTGGGGCTCTGAAGAAGTAATAACAAATTTGTATATTCTTCATCAAACCAGAACAAGACTATGTGATCTAAGCCCTTCTAGTAGTAGTGTACATCAGTCAGTGAATGGGTATAAGTGGTCCTGTTTCCATGGGTGTGCAAATGCCTCACTTGGAGGAAAAGCTATGCCTGGAAAATAGGTGTGTTTTAAGCCAGGGACCCACTCGGCAGATTCTACAACAGACTGAACAAATGAAAAGCAATTGAGAACAGAAGTTGGGATATAAAACAGCCCTTTTTCCACTTTAATCTGTCCCTCTGCCATGGCAGACCCTCTAAGTGCTTCTGGGCCAGAGTTGGGCTTAAATTTAAACAGATGCAACTCCCAGTGACCTCTGCATGCAGTGGTAGCTGTTCCAGTTTACTCTTGACCAATAGCCAAACTTTGGACTAATTGTACTTGTGTTGCTGCAGGACTCGTCTTCCCCATGACATCCACAGGTTAGCTGTATCTGCTTTTGCTTTTGGGCACTTCCTGTTAGAGGTTTGAAGTTGCATTTGTTTTATACAACCACAGAACGCAAGTTGTTACACTCAATTTTTTTTTACTTGCTTGTACTTGACTACTAGCTTACACAACTGTTGTCACAGGAATAATGCAGCTTGACACTTCTCCAGCACTTGAGGATGTCAAACAGGGAAGATTCTTTCACCTTGCACTGCACTGGGGAAACCTGACTGAGTTCAGTGTCAGCTGGAGAGCTGGGGATAAATCTTTCCTAGTCCCTTGCTTTAACCACTATACTGTGCTGTCTCTTGAACTGCTTAGCAATCATTGCTAGCAAACCAAATAGTGATCACATGCTGCAGAATTAATCCTTCTGACTGGGATTAGCACAGGTGTTTTAAGTATGTTTGGCTTTCAATGCAGATTATGCCAATCATCTGATGGTTACATAAACTCTTTCAAATTTGTACATGCTTCTGGGATTATGCTCTGTATACAACAAAAGAAATACAGCAGTAGCTTTATATCTTCTAGCAAAAGTTTGCATGGATAATTCCTGACCAGCCCTCCCATCATTCTACAGCAGGGGTGCTCAGCTTCTGTCCTGTGGGCCAAATCTGGTCTTGGGGGGCTTCTGAAGGGTTGGGAAACTTGATGGCAAGGGAGCAGTATCAGTTTCCGCTACTGAAATCCTAAATCCTGTGCAGGGGGTTGGAGCTGGGCCACATCCCTCCCCTCCCTTTGGCTGTCTGGGTTGGGATCAGGCCCTAACCTCTTCCCCCTGCCTGTCTGAGCCATGCCTTCTTGCCCCTCTCCACCTGGCCAGGTTAGGGACTGGGCCATACTCTCTTCTTCTTCCACACCACTGGATTGCAACTCCCTCCCTCCCTGCTGGGCCTGCCCTGGTGCTGCATTAGGTTTACCTGCTGGACCTAACCATGGAGGAACTGGGCACTGCTCATCTGGCCCACTGGATGGAAAGATTGAGCACCACTGCTCTAAAGGAACTTCAGGTGAAAGGGACTAAAATGGGGAAAATCCCAATAACTGCTGTTCTACACAATACACCATTGTAACTTTCAGCCTTTGATACAGACAGCTATTGAAAACATAAGTTTGTAATTTAAGAACAGTAGATTTTCATGGTGGTGCCTTATGAAAAAGATACAAAAATATTTTGTACAGTTAAAAAGGTCCTTTTAAAATTTCTTGCAATACTGTAATAATATTAATACTTCATTACTTTGTATAGTCTTTTCTAGAAAAAATAGATGCCCTAATGTGGTGTTGCTCCTCTCCTTATCAGTCTAGGATGTTTTCAAAATAGGAGGCTTGATTTTGATCTCAATGAGCACAGTGTAAGTCTAGAGGAACTCCAAGGAATGCATTTATATTACTATAGCAGGGCTGCTGTTTTTTTTTTCATTTGCCAAGTTTAAAATATAAATAAAATAGCAGAAAACCTTAGAGGTTCTTCAGCTGGAGAGAATGTATTGACATTTGACAGTTGAGAAGGTGAGTAGACAGTAGGAATTTTTAATAAAATGTACAGTGCATGGTAAAAGCTGTGCACCAGCTCATCAAACCTGCTTTTGGGGTTTGCTTTTAGACTGGATAAGGTGGAGAGTGGTATCTAAGGTGCAGAGCAGTGGCAGCTGGAGAATAGAGGAGATCCAGACCCTGCATCAGTGAGACTGCTGCCACTCTTTATGTCCCCCTACCTGCTAGCGGGGAGAGGCCAAGGAAGTGTGGAGCTAAGTTTCATGAGCATGAAGAGCATCATGTTGAATGAAGCCTATGTCCACTTTCTATCCCCACCTCTTGCTTGTGACAAACACATGGGTGCCTTATGAATCACCTCTCAATGCAAAGGCCATGCTCTGTGTCTGACTTGATATCTGTACATGCACTTGTACTGGTATTTTAATGTCCTCATGCACCCTGCTACATACTTTGTACAAAGTTTAACAATAGCAGGGCCTTCATCGCAAAGAGGTGGCATGTTTGAGTGTTTTCAAGCTCTTATTTTAGAAACTTTGTTTATAATGAACAACCTGGGCAGCAATGAGAAATCTACGCTTGGCTGATGCACTACTATAGTATTTCAAAACAAAAGAACACCCCACAGTTGGATCTCGAAGGGGCCAGTTCAAGCTTCCTGGACTACCTGGTGCATCCTCTCTCTCACCCTCATCTACCATGCCACATGCTAATGGAACGTGAGATGCTGGCACAGACAGCTGTTACCTGTAAACAATGATTCCTGTTCTCAGACAAGAAGTTTAATAATAATATTCACTTCATTCTTTTAAATAATCCACCTTTTCTTATAAGCCAATTGTATTAAAACCTAGCTTCGCTACATTTAATTCTCAGAAACGTAGACTTTAAGGAAAAAAATGCTCCTGTTCCAGCTTTTCCAGCTGTCTGACACGATAGCTACAAGAGATCTGTGACTGACTACAATTCAAAGCAGTTTAGGCAGCATGAAAAGGAAACCAATGCTTAAGGTATATAGCACATACCATCTACTGCAGCAAGCTAGGGAATTAGATTTTGCTTTCTGCTACGTTAGTAGATGATGCAGTAAAAAAGCAGCTCAGGGTAGGGAGAAAAGGTTCATTTGCTGATTGGTGCTTTTAATCTGGGTGAGTAGTCCTACCTTTTTACTGAGTGAAACACTGAATATTGCAGCATCCTTGATTACTTGGAGGCATGGGATACAGTTGTCCCTTGACTTTGAAAAGGCAGTCTTACGGCATGATGAATTGTTTGGATGGGCCTCCAGTCTACTTCAGTGGGCAGCAAAACCATGTGGTAAAAGCAAAGTGCCCAATGCATTAGTAAGTGTTTAACTTGGAGCGTGGTACTATGTTCCTGTTGAGGCCAGGCTGTACTCTGAGGATTCACTGGATGCTACTGACGTATGAGGCATAGATGAGCACCTTGAGGTCAGTCTGGGTGAGGGGGTAGCAGTTTTGATGTGAACAGAGATGGGGAAGGGGTTGGTTTGTTCTCTGTGGGTGAAATCAGCAGGGGTAGTAGCAAGCTTGTCTGAAGTAAAAGCAGAAGATATGCACTGGAGTGCATCCAGAGGAGAGGGAGGGGAGTCTATAGCACTTCCATCGGAAGAAACTGGGCTGGCACAGCGTCCTTCTCCTTGTAGGTACCGAATGCACTTCTTTTTCCTCCTAAGAACAGTGAAGAGAGTTATCTGTAAATAAAGGGTGAATTTATAGTGTCATATTTACAGTGAAAACATTGCAGCATTCAGAGCAAACTGAGGGCGCACAGGTAAAATCTGTGCTTAATGACAGGATACCAGATTTAAAGTCCCATTTAGTCCATCTTGCACCCCACAGCGTTTCCTTTCTTCCAGGCCTGTTAATACTATTGCTCTCTGCTTTCTGTTTTTCTGCCATGTATGTAGGCAGTGCAACTCAAGGTCTTTGGCTGACTGATTGGATGTAGTACAGCATCAGGGACCTGCAGCTTGCTCACAATTTCCCTGATGTAAATCCAAAGGATTGTCAAGTAAGAGTATAAACAAGCTAAAGAGAATGAGTGACAAGCCTCTGGATTCACTCCAGTGAAAGCAGAAGCCAAAATCAGGTTAGATTAGGCTAGTCTAGTGTAGGCTGACAAGTTGCTCTTTATTTACATTCCAACTCCAATTCTTCCCACTAGGTGGCAGCATAACAATGGCATTAAACCAGATGTCAGGATAATGAGTAAAACACCAAAAGACCAACAATCGGAAGTCATTTCTTTTTTTTGTTTTCTTGCCACTAAAAAAGAAGATGATATTTTAGGTTATTTATGTAAGTCAGTAATTTTTAACCTTTGATGTACATTAACTGATGGTGTGAATTTAAAGTGAATCAATGAGACTCTATTTAAGCCCCAGTGTGGAAATTGTCATTCCAGAGGATTGACAGAGCATGTAGAAAAGGCTGAAGTACTCAATGCCTTCTTCATCTCAGTCTTCACAGGCAAGGTCAGCTCCACCAGGCAGCACAGTTTGGGGAGGAGGTGAGCAGCCAACAGTGGGGAAAGAACAGGTTAGGGACTATTTAGAAAAGCTGGACATATGCAAGTCCCTGGGGCTGGATGGGTTGCACCCAAGGGTGCTGAGAGTTGACTGATGAGATTGCAGAGCTCTTGCCCATCATCTTTGAAAACTCACGGCAATCGGGAGAGGTCCCAGGTGACTTGAAAAGAGCAAACATAGTGCCCGTATTTAAGAAAGGGAAAAGGAGGCTCCAGGGAACTACAGATCAGTCAGCCTCACATCAGTCCCTGGCAAAGTCATGGAGCAATCCTCAGGGAATCCATTTCTAAGCACTTGGAGAAGGTGATTAGGACTAGTCGGTATGGATTCACCAAAGGCTCAAGTCATGCCTGACCAACCCAACTGCCTTCTATGATGAGGTGACTGGCTCTGTGGATGGGGGAAGACCACAGTGGGTGTGATATACCTGTTTTTAGCAATGCTTTTGATATGGTCTCCCACAACATTCTCACAGGCAAGTTAAGGAAGTACAAGCTGGATGAATGGACTGTAAGGTGGATAGAAAACTGGCTGAAGCATTGGGCTCAAGAGAATAGTAATCAATGGCTCGATGTCTAGTTGACAGCCAGTATCAAGCGGAGTGTCCCCCCAGGAGTCGGTCCTGGGGCCGGTTTTGTTCAATGTCTTCATCGATGACCTGGAAGATGGCATAGAGTGCACCCTTAGCAAGCCTGCAGATGACACCAAGCTGGGGGGAGCAGCAGATTTACTGGAGACTAGGGCTAGGATTCAGAATGACCTAGAAAAATTGGAGGATTGGGCGAAAAGGAATCTCATGACATTTAACAAGGACAAGTGCAAAGTCCTACATTTAGGATGGAACAATCCCATGCACTAGTAGAGGCTGGGGACTGACTAGCTGGGCAGCAGCTCTGCAGAAAAGGACCTAGGGGTTACAGCGGACAGCAAACAATATGAGCCCAGTGTGCCCTCGTTGCAAAGAAGGTTAATGGCATACAGGGCTGCATCAGTAGGTGTGTTGCCAGCAGGTCCGGTGAAGTGATTATTCCCCTCTATTCAGCACTGGTGAGGCCACATCTGGAGTACTGTGTTTAGTTTTGTGCCCCCCCCCCCCCAATATTGAAAGGAGGTGGATAAATTGGAGAGGGTTCAGTGGAGGACAACAAAAATGGTGAGGAGGCTGGGGACATGACTTTTGACGGAACCGGGCTTATTTAGTATACAGAGCAGATGAGACTCAAAGGGGATTTAATAGCAGCCTTTAACTACCTAAAGGATGGCTTGAAAGAGGATGGAGCTAGACTATTCTTAGTGGTGGCAAGTGACAGAACAAGGAGCAATGGTCTCAAGTTGCAGCAAGGTAAATTTAGGTTGGGTATTAGGAAGAATTTGCTCACGAGGAGGGTAGTAAAACACAGGAACAGGTTATCCAGAGAGGGTTTGGAATCTCCATCCTTGGAGGTTTTTAAGACCCGACTAGACAGCTTGGCTGGAATGATCTAGTTGGGGATGGTCCTGCCTCGAGTAGGGGATTGGACTAGATGACCTCCTGAGGTCCCTTCCAACCCTCATTTTCTATGATTCAGACTTTAAAGCCATTTTAATTGTGAAGGAGATTGTCTACACAGGGACTTAATGTGATTGTTTAATCGAGTCTCCTGGAGCATGCCAATTGTCATGCTTGAGCAGTCTCCTGCATCTTGTGTATTGGCATACCTGTGCTTAAAGATGGCAGGGGTGCTTGAGCTGAAGCTTGTTGAATGAGCTTTAGTTCAAGCACCCCTGCTGCCATTTTTAAGCACAGAGACACTGATATAGGAGATGTGGTGGCTCTTGGAGCCACTCTAATTAAAGTACCACCCCCCCACCCTTGGAGCATGTGTAAAAGTACCCTTTATGTAGATGAGCCACAATTGCAGCTAAAAAACAGTCAGTATTTTGGGCATACATGCATCAAGAAAATAAATGCCCAATATTTAATGCTGAAATGTAATGCTACTTCATAGTTATCCTCTTTTATAAGTGGCCAAATAGTCCTGTTATGCAGAAGGGGTGTCTATTTGCTGTCTGAGTTGTATGCTGTACTTTGACTTGATGTAAATGGAAGGTAACCCCCACATGCTCAATGGGAACTACATCAGCTTATGTCAGATATGAATTTAATGCATATCTAGGGTGCTGCCCATATTTAGGGTTAACTGTAATTTGACTCTTCATGTCAGCTCCAAGGCTATCTGCACTAGTACAAACTGAGGGTAGTCAGGGAAAGCTGGAATTTATACTTTTATCCCTACTTCTGTATGAATCTGTGGACATTTCAGTTTGGCATGGGATCCTTTGCTTGCTTTTCTAAGTCCTTTTGGAGTCTCGTGGGCTGTTTCATGCCACTGGTAGTTACACTTGGAGCGGTAAAGAAAGCAAGTGCTCTCTATATATGTATGCTTTCTGCAGTCTCTTGGCAATAGCTCTAATATGCATTGCCAAGCGTACCCCAACTTTATGTGGGGTACACTTCTAAGTAAATATAAATGAGAATTTCCATCGTGTGCAAGTTTGGCAACAGTTACTTCTGAGACAATCTGGCAGCAGGCACGAGAGATGCATGAACATGAACTCTTCTGCATGTACATCTTGAAGGGTGACACAGTGTACCAGGGAGACCTGGTATATATGCCATACTGACAGAGCTCCCCTTCCCCTCCTAGGTTACCCAGGGTGGAGGGGGTGAGGCACCTGAATAAATAGTTTGGCTGTGGAGAGGAACATCCCTATGAAAGAGCCAAGACTCACGTCACTGCTCCAGCACAGCAGACAGCTTCCGCAGAGACTTGTGCTGTCCCTGTGGTTGTGGTCTCTAGCATGGGTTTCTGTAGAGCTCTCCCCTGTGCTGCAGTAATGTGCAGAATGGGTGTGGGGCCTGAGCACAGGAAGCTTAAATGCAGCTGGGAGGAAAGGAAGGCTTAAGCCTGGAGGTAAGGGATTTACCTCCTTTTAATGTAATATATCAGTGGGAAAACCGGTTGCATCCAGTAGTACCGAAGTGACCCGTGGTGTCACAGGCCCCATCACGAGGAGGGCCCACAAAGCTCATTTCCTACTAGCCCAGCTGCGGTTGCCACCCACTTGGGAGCCTTGTTCTGTTTTGCTCCAAGTCTTTTTTTTTCCCCCCCCTCCCCTAAGAAAGGGTAGCTTTAGGCATAGGCTTAGTAAGTAGCCATGCACGACTCTTCATGTAAGAATCTCTCTGTCTTTGGAGCCACTCTGAACTGTGGCCCATCACTTGTAGAGATTGTACCCACTTGGTTTCCTCCTCTTTGAGCCTTCCTGTGCTTCCACATTATCTCTGGATCCCAGAATGTTTTGTTTTGGCTGCAGTGTGGCCTCTGAGATGAGCATAAAGGATTCTGGGCTGTATCTACGACTCAAAGGTGCCTAATGGCCACCTAGGGCAGGCAACTACTTGGGCCTGTGGGCCACATGGGGAGTTTTGGTGAGTTGTCATGGGCTGGGTCAGCACCCCCCTTCTGCAGCAGCTCACCAGAACTCCCTAAGCAGCCCCATCCTGTTCACCTGGCCCCACAACCTGCCCAGGCAGATCCCAGCCGGGATGGGGTTGGGGCTGGGATTGTGGGACTGGCCCTGTCTACCTGCCTGTCCCACTCCCAGATGCTGTTCCCCCAGATCCCAACCTCCGCCCCATTCTGGTCAAGCGTTGCACAGAGCCATGATCTATTGCCCACATGCCCCTGCGAATATACTGGTTTTCCAGGCAGATGTGTGCAGGAAGTGGATCATAGCTCAGCCCTGGCCCAAAGCATGTGCTTTCTCACTTGCACACTCGCTCTCTCTGCCTCCCCCCGCCATCCCCACAGCTACAGCGTTCCCCTTCTCTCCCCCTCCCTGCCCCCATCCCTGCAGCTACAGCACACCTCAGTCTGCAGCATCCCAGTCCCTTCTGCAGCTTACACCAGCTCCTGCCCTGCGCAGCGGAAGCAGTGCCAGGTAGGTGCCAGCATGAGTTGTGGATGCTGCAGGCAAGTTCCCAGTGGGGATTGGGACCACTGCCCAGGACCACAGCTAATGCAGCAGTGTCAGCTGCAGACTGAGGCGAATGCCCACATTCCCACCTGGAACCTGCTGGCCACATCCACAGCTGATGCTGCTTCCAGTGTGCAGGGTGGGAGCTAGTTTAAGCTGTGGAAAGGGATGGGATGTGCCTGGCATGATCCAGCAGCCAGAGCTGCCGGCTTCTCATAGGCGAGATGCCATGACTTCGTGCTGCCCGCCTGTGGGCCAGTTGCAACCAATTGATGGGTTGGATCGGGCCTGTGGGTCATATATTGCCCACCTGTGGCTTAGGGCCAGTGTTAGTCCTGAAGTGCTGTATGAGGAAGAGATTAAATCAGGAGCCAGGGAATCTTTAACTTGTCTGACTCTGGAGGGTGGATCTCCTGGGTACTTGCCCTTGTACTAGGTAATTAAACCAAGGAACGAGGGCAAGGCAGCACCACTGCATGCCAACTAGTCACTTCCTGGGCTAGGAAAGGTTCCTAGAACTGCCCCTTAAGACACTGAGATTTTGACGCCAAGTACAAAGATCAGAAGGAAAGATGAGGCATACAAGGAAATTGCCTGAATGAGTACTTAATCAAATCTTTGGTTCAAAGCATTCTGCTCTGCACCTTTCTTCAATGGAGTGTGTGATAAGCCAAGCAGGCTCTATGGTGGGGAAATGTCAGAAAAAACTGCTGAAGTCACAAGACATATTCAACCCCTCTAGTGAAGATCCCATGTGGCAAGGGCAGGTCTCAAGGCCAAGAGCCCCTTGTGGAACAAGCCAACCACCCTGAGAAGCATATTCCCCCAGAGAGTCACTGGGAGCAGGAGGGACTGCTGGGGTCATGCAGCACCCCCTCCCTTGGCATCACTCCTGAAATGTATCTCCAGGGTTCCTGTTAGCTCAGATGCTGATTTGAGTGTTTCAGAAACTCATGTAACTATCACTGTCCTTGCAGTAATGCCCCATGGCCATGTGAACCTCGCCACCTTGCCAGTTTACTCGAACTGTCTGGACTCTGAAAATGCTCACATTTGGCTAATATGTATTTCGAGCCAGGCTTTCCTACTTGTGGTAACTCTTCTTGGGGACTTACCACTCTCACAGTGCCCTGGTTCATTGTTTCTATGCTTTTTACTTTCAGTTGTCTTATAATGTCTCTTAAAACAGTATTGTGGGCTGTTTGTGTGTCATTCTGCTTTGGGTACTGTACAGCTTTGCAATATATTTTTAAAACTGTGGAGCTCTCCCATGTGGATTTATATGCAGTGATGGGAACAATTCCGCTTCTGGAGAAGATCCTGGTGACCCTTCCACATTATAAAAAAAACTTCCAGTTCAAGCCTTTGCTTAAATTCTGCATCTCAAAGTGCAGATAAAATGTAGCACTCTCCATATCTGAGCAGGGGCTGGATTAGATGACCTTGTGAGGACCCTTCCAGCCCTATGTCCTCTGATCCTAGCCACCACTGGTGGCTAGGAAACATACCATGACTCCAACAGTTAATACGATGAATTGCTTGGAAGAGGTTCACTAAGGTTAGGAACAGATGTTGCATTTGTCCTGGGATGAGTTATGCCTGTGTTTGTCCCAGAACAGAAAAGTCCTGGGTTTGGCGTGTACACGTACTGCTTTTATAGTTAGGGTTTAGTGAGCGGCTGAATGTGCTGCCACTTTTCTACCACGGTTCAGTGATGTAATTTTCTATTCAGATGCACTTCACAATGTCCTGAGACAAAAAGTAAGCACTTCTTGTCCCATGAACATTTTCAAGGTTTGTCCCAGGACAGTGAACATGGGTGTCTGAATAACTGCACTTTGTCTCGGGACAAAATGGTTTCTCCTGGATAGGCATAACCTCTGTTTTTGTAGTCAAGGTAAACAGATTTCATTAACTTCCTCCTAAGTGGCAGGGAAGGAGAAGGTGTCTTCACTCAAACCACGTTCTGTTTTTCCTCTTTAAAGCCAAAAGAAGATGAAACCTCTCAGGGTGGAACACTTGTCATTTTAGTCAGTTAAACCCGTCTTGCTTTGGGATGGAAATCCTCTGGTGGAAGTTTCTTTCAAAGGAAGGTGTCAGTAACAAGGAAGCATAACATGTCTGAAACCCTTCAGTTGGCTGTGGTACATTAGTACAGGGAATTGCAGAACAGCTGCCACTACACAGGACTTGAGATATAAGGGTAAAAACAAGAAAAAAAGCATGCTAAGGAGCACTTCTGCAATGTGTGTTAATCAGGAAGCAGTGCTGGCAAAGCCAAATGTTAGTGCTAGAGCTGAGTAAGAGATTTCAAATAACACAAGAGAAGATATAAGGACTGCCTTTAGACCTAGCAGTCATGCTGGGTGGGAGATCTGCATTCACCACCTCTATCTGGTCTTTCACTTCCCAGCCTGACATTGCTGGGATGACAGACCCAGGTTGCCAAAAAAGCTCTGGCTGTTTACAGTACAGTATTAATAGGATGCCAAGGGAGTTCCATCCAGTTTTCCTAGATCAGAAAACAATGCTGCTTGCAGTGATATCATAAGGAAGGGTCATATGAAATTTGAATGGGGAATTCATAGAGCTATAAAAATGTGAGCAGAATTACACAAGGAATACCAACATACAGACTCCGTGCACCTTGAGAGGGGTTTCCCATTTAAGATGAGAATGCAAGGAGTTAATTTAAGAATTTGTTTTTATGCTCTATGATAGATTGGTCCCCTGGCCAGAACAACTACACAGCATCCTTCAGGATGCAACCAGGCAAAAAGCCTGCTTGGTGTGCTTTGCCCTTTTTAAAGTGCCAGCATATTTCAGATTTTGCTAGACAGAAGAATTAACGTGGTGCTGTACAAACCTACAAAGCAGCAGACTGTCCTGACAACAGTGCCCTTCTCCTTTGCTCAGGCTATGTTTACTCCTCACAGATTTGTATAGATCCAGAAGCAGGTCCAGAGTCTTTTGCACCTAGGACCACTTGAAGATACTCTGACCCAGTTAACTGTCCTCAGGTGTACTTGCCAGGGGACTGCCCCATTATTTTATTCCCTGGTTCGTCCCTTAGAAGTTCCTGGAGTCCCCACACAATCTCATTGCTTGGGGCTACTCCACTGTCTAGTGGCAGCATGGTATAGGGTTACTACAGAGATAGGAGCCAGGCTCCTCCCATGTATTTCAATTAGAAATACATGGGGGAAAAAGCGAACTTGAATTACTCCCTAGTGGCTATAGTAGGGACGGATACTCCCTAGCACCATACTAGTGTCTGTGTGACAGGGAATCTCTAAAGGGGAATTAAAGCCCAACATGGGGACATTCCCTGAAACAGGGAGAACTAGGTAAGAAATGCACGTTCATCTCCCTCCATTTTGCAGGGCCTCCTACCCTAGAGAGAGCCTCTTTTTTACCAGTGAAGTAGGAACTTTAATAAATCAATCTGTAAACTTCTACATGACATTTGCTGACCCAGAACAAGATGCACAGGTGGGACTTCTTGGCTTTAGCAACACTGGTTTAAATTTCTGGTCATACTTGTGTGTGGACCCTTCAAAAATACCTGCGTATGGCCTTGAAACCCCAAGAAGGGCTTGAAGGGAGCAATCCTTAGCAATGCCACTAGTTTGAGTCAGGAGTAAGGGCAACTGTAGGAACATGCATGAAAAATACAACCATACACAGCAAAAAAACCAATGCGCGCAGGGAAAGACGCTACAAGCAGAGTGGAGAGTTCTGATACACACCTGCATGGGCCGCACCAGTCCGTTTGTTGGTTGAGGCCAAAGCGAGCTCTGCATTTCTTAGGAGAGGCGGGATCTGAACACAGAAGCATGCGTGGCGGAGAATGGCAAGGCAGAGACACAGAGAGGAGGAGGAGCAGGAGGAAGAAAAGATGCAACATCAATTTAGCCACTTCAGACATAACTACCAGGCTAAAATCCAACTTTCAGCAACAGAAATATTCTGGCATCACCACTCCTGGAAAAGAGTCAGTGTTAGGCAAATATCAGAGTAGGGGAGAGAAGAAAGATGTTCAGGAACTGGCCTCTTACTGATGTTGTAGAGTTTGTTTTTGCTCACCTGCAGCATCCCCTCCTACCTGTCACCTCAGCCATTCCTGCCACAGAGCCAGGCCCAGGCCATCAACAGGCTCTTGCAGGAAACATGAGAAACTACCAGGAAATCCACTGCTGTTTATGGAACGTCTGACTTCATTTTGAAACTGCCCAATCAAACAGCCACCTACTGTCTCCTGGGCTCAAATCCTTACCTGCTCCATGCCTTTCCAGTAATGGTTAAATGACCTGCCTTTGAATGGAGTCCTTGGGTTGAAATAGAGATGAGGGAAGTAGCGCAGACTGGTGCACGCGCGCGCGCGCGCGTGCGTGTGTGTGTACACACGTACGTGCTGCGAAACCTGTAGTAAGGACCATCTCTAACAAACAGATCTCTGGAGCAAGCATACACATTAAAGTTCCCCAAGCGTTGTGCATAGAGTTCTATTTAATCTTTAGATCGCTTTTACTAGGAAATGATGCGTGGTCCCTGGGGTGGCCTTTAAGAGGTTTCACAAGAATTACTCGCACACACTATTGATGCATGCAAGAGATGAGACCCTTTTCACTCCAGAAGAGTGGTGACCTCCAGCCTGTCACAGCTTCTGGAGCATTTCCCCTGGCTTATATTAAAGATGAGCAATAGCCACAAGCAATAGCCTTTTCCATTGTCATGAATCCCTCCTGTTCTAATTAACATGTATGTTTTAGGAACAGGGTGAAGTTGCTTACATACAATTCACTGCTTTAGGAGTCCACCATACTTTCCTGGTTACAACAGCTGACAAGAGTTGCTCCCTTCTGGTCAAACCAGGATGCCAGCTACAGCTGCTGCCTTGGTGGCTCAATCCATTCCCAGCAACAACAACAACAAGTGACTACCAAGAAGCACGCTCGGCTTTGTACCAAAGATTTTACCTGAGCTGGAGTCTTGCTGCTTTTCTCTTGTCCGTCTTTTCTTTTTTCCCTAGGATGCAAGAGGAAAAGCACGTCAGTGTCTACTCAGAGACCTCATGCAGGCTGCTCAGTATTTCGAGTAACACAGATGCAAAGGGATAGGCAAAATTGTCAAATGTCTCAGCCTCTCTAATTCCCCATGAGGATTGAGTCTTGCATCCCTGAAATTAAAAGCATGCCCCTCTCCTGCTTAAACTAAATGCTGAGAGAGCAACAGACTCAGACAACGCCAGTGTGTTATAGTATGAGTTATGTAAGTGCATTTCCCTCTTTCAGCCATCTCATTTTCCACTGATGACCTCACTTGGGGTGCTAGAAACAAGAGATCTTTCTATGTCACCTGATTGGCTGTTTGTTCACCAGTCATTCACATGATTGGAGCAGAATTGAACTTATTTAACCTATGCCTGATGATAACATCGGCAGAAAGTTGATGATAAAAAAAATGAACCTTTCGTCAAAGACATCTTCCATCAATGCACGTACCTTCCATTGGTCATGATCAAGATATAGTTTGACACGGCAGAACGCTACGAGCATATGCGAGATAATGAAAGCATGGGGAACACCTCTGCTCTACTGCCTGTTGGGCTAGCGCTACCTTGCTTCAAAGGTGAGGCAGAATCTACTCTTTTAAATTGATTTTTAAGCATCTTGTTGACAACTGGAGCAACAAGCTTCACGTGGAAATCCTGATGCTATCTTTTTTAAATGCAAAGGGAGACACACCAGCACAGTTTAGAGAGTCAGGCCTGAAAGGAATCGTCATCATCAACTCCACCCTTCAGCAACAGAAGCCCGGAGGCTTCCCGGCCTGGCCTGGCCTTCGCCTGCTATGTTCCAAGCTTAAAGCACAGGTCCAAAGTCATGACCTGTGACAAGACTGGGTCAGCAGGCTTGTAGGACCGTTGCTCTCTACTGAAGTGCCTGTCACAGGGAATACAGGCCTCATGCTGTTTCAGTCTCAGAACAGCAGACTCCCCATGCCCGAAGAAGGGTGACTACGCCTGAAAGCTTGCAAAGAACTTTCTTCCAACTATTCAGTTGGTCTAACACAAGATATCACATTGACTCAAAGAACGTTGCCTGCTTCATGCTATTTCAGGCACTTGGGGGGTTAATAGAGATTCACCACCTCTTCAGCTGGGGCTGATTGCTAGCCCTGCAACAGAGGTGATAGGAAGGCTGCTGCTCAGGAACTTCTAGTGGGAACAGCCCACAGGAGAGAGGACTGCCTGCAGAAGAGGAGCAAGAGGTGGAGGAAAAGCCTCCCAGAGGGAGCTGAGAGGGGAAGCAGCAATGGGGGAGGTGAAAGTGGCTTTATACAGGGTCCCTTGGAGGAACCCAGAGGAGGGGCTAACTTCCCCACCAACTCCTGAGCTGAGTGGCTGTTAATCTGAAGAGCCCTCCCCTGGGTGACTGCTAGTGCTGTCCTCAAAGCACTAGTGACCACAGCATCCAGTGTGTTCTCAACAGGTGGAAGAGAAGGAGAAACTGAGGTTGGACCACTGTGATTGCCCAGTGGGTGCTTGTGGGCAAAAGCTCGGTCCTCAGTGATGCCCAGCTGTACTAGTTGCTTGGCTGAGCTAACGGAACCAGAACTCGTGGGAGAGGTGATATCTTCTATTAGATCAACTAGATTTTTGCAAAAAGATTTCCTTAAAACAATTCTTTCAAAAAATTTTCTTGGCTGAGCTAATTGGGGTCCTCAGAGGAATGAAATGCTGCTCCTTACAGCAGTAGGAATAAAACCTCAGTGCAGCTGGAGAGACGGGAGGACCCAGACTGGTAACGTGAGTGGAGCACATGAAATCTGCCAGCCTTCAGGGAAATGACAAATTAGATCCTCTCTCCACACGTATTCATCTCTCTCCTGCTGGTCTCTGACTGAACAAGGGGAGGGAAGCCATAAGGAGCCCCCTTGGGTTGCTGTGCAGAAAGGAGTGTGCTCCTGTGCACTATGGGGCTCGGAGGTGAAATCCTTTGGGACTCTGCAGTGTCGTCTCACTTGTTACACCAAGTAGGAAGTAGTGCCTGAAGGCAGAGGGGAAGTTATTGGTCGGGGGAAAGGCTCTTACCATAAGCAGTGAAAGCTCATTGATCTTCCACAACGTTAAATTGAAGGAGTGGCTAAACATGCAAGAGTTTGTCCATTCTGAGGACGCTATTGACAGATTAATAACGCAAGTCACAGAAGAAAAAAGCTCCTAGAATCCATCCAGGGAAGAATCTAGTCTCTGCCTCCCCCACCAGAGAACAGATGGAGTCTAAGACAGCACCACACTTGGTCTTAACCAGAAAGTTGAGAGGTGAAACACTTTCAGCAAGTGTCAGCGGTGAACACCTGAAGTGGAAATCAGTGCAGGTGACAGGGTCAAACAGCTTTGATGGAAAAGCTGCCCAAACAGAGCCGGTGTTTTCAAAGCAACTACTGAAAGATGCCCTATAGCCTGACTTTCATATTGCACAAGCTTACTCTGTGAGCATGTCATTTGTTGAATATGTTTTCTGAATCTTCAGTATCCCAGAATTTAATACCACAAGCATTTGAAGTATTCCACAACAGGCAGCAAGGATGGTGCGTAAGATTTGCATACACTTAATTTGGATACAAGCAAAGTGATGGAGAAGCAGAGAACATCACCTTTGTGGTAACTCAGACTGCTCAAAAATATTTCTTAGAAGCATTTCCCCAATGTTTCTGTGCAAGGTGAAACCGTATTACGTAACTCAGGCCTGTGGTCACTTCCACACTCAGCTGCACTGAGAGACCAGGTTGCACAATTAGCTGTTAACCCAGAGTAAATAAAACAAAGTTCTGGCTCGCCGTGCTGACCATCAAGCAGTTTTCACTCTGCAGCTTTCAGGATATGATCATTGCAAATATCTCCACTGTAAGACAAAACTATGCTGCAACTGTTTAGGACATTGGTTTACTTTTACACTCTCCAACACGTTTGATTTGTGTATAGAAGGTGAACTCTAGAAGGCAATTTTTATTGCACATTTTGACTTCTGCTAGGGAAAGGGCATCAGCCCCTTGAGATCTAGGCTTTGAATATGATTCTGGCCCATGTGCTTCAAGTAAAGGAAGTAGACAGACAAGTCCTCAAAAGAACATGAGAGCAGTGCAATGTAATGGCCTTAACAAAGCAAATGAACAAATCCTTCCCTGCATTTCTATTTTATTTTAGGGAGGTGGGCGGGGGGAGACTGAACTGTCTGAGCTACATAAAATTATGGGGGCGTCTTAATCTATTCAGTGCCACTTGTTGCTAAGCATCTGATGCTACTTGCCATAGTTACCAATGGTTCACAGGGACCCAAGTCTCAGGATCATCTTGAGCGCTAGCTTTCTAGAATATTATTTGGAGTCTCCAGGGCTGACAACACCAATGCTACTGGGCTGGCCAGAGACTTAACTTTTCCTGTGCCTCAGAAAAACCACATCATCCATTTGTTGCAGTCTCTCCAGGTCTTTCTCTGCTCCTTTGCAGTTTATAGTTTTATTTAAGACCACCATTTTAGAGCAGCATTTAACCCATACTGTACTCGCAAGTGTAGTGAAAGCTAAATCAATTCCATAGCCAGTGAGCAATTCCATGGCTAAGGAAGTCTGAAAAGCTCAGGGCTCCTGGAATTCTGCAGCTAACACTGGAGTCAGTGGGTACCAAGTGGGCAGGCTGCTACATGCTCTTACTGCCACAGAGTGGGCTAACATTCGCTGCAGAATTCTCTTACCCTTGCTGCTGAAACAGGCCCTGAAGTGCTGCAGAATTCCAGAGGCCCTGAGCAAACCTGTGTGTGTTCATGGGCTGAAGAGCCTGAAGACTGAAGAGCAGGTGAAAAAGTGTTAAAATAACAACTGATCTCTGCAAACACAGTGATTCATCACAAGTCTTGCAATACTTGGGTGTCTAGTAAAGTCTCTGCTCATGGCATCGCAGTGCTATGGGAGAATCTCTGTTTTCACTTAAAAATGTTTCTGAACCTCATGGTTGCAGAGACAAACCGGACATCATGGATTTCAAAAGGTCGAAAAATACATTTAAAGTTTGTTTAAATCTGACTTGACCGGCTCCGCAGCTAGGAGTTGGCAGTCCTGGGTATGAAAGAGATCCTGAGTGGAGATGTAGTGAGGTAGTTCTTTAAAACAGTCACTACTGCAAACTCAGTGAGTGCCAATACCGATGCTAGAAAATGGCAACCCTCCTGGTGATGAAAGCCAGGGGTTCACATATTCTCTCTCTTAAGAAATGTGCTTAAGGCACTATGATCAAGTCTGTATTTTACCTGTGGTACTTAATAAGACTGTACGATATTTTTCTCAGCCTACTGTAGTGAAGCTTCAAAGGATTCCCTACTGCCCCTTTCCCCCTGAGTTCATATTCCCACAGAAATATTTCTGTTCCTATTCATACCGGCTCTCATATCTGGGTCTACTCTGCCTGGCAATGTTTCTCTTAACATCCACTAGCATTCTGTGGCATTACCCTGGCTTACACCACTTTAGAGTCTGCCCATCACCAATAACCTTTTAATTTAATGGAATAAGATATGCCACATCCAGCTGGCATCCTGTGTGATCTTCTTACTATAGCGTTGTTCATTCCTTATTGCCCCTTCCTGTTGTGTCACTGTCTCTCACTGAATCTTTGAGCACAAGACTGCAAAAGTCTTTGCCACTGAAACAGCTGTCCTAGATGAAACCCCCAGCATGTTTTGGTACATTGTGTTTCTTTGCCCTCTTAAAGCAGTACATTCAAAAGGAAGGTCCTGCCTAAGGTGGAACAAAAAGAGCTTTCACAGGATCAATAACATGCTGTGCTGATGATGTATTCTGGCAAAGAGGTGCTCTAGTTCTGCAGACGTTATTTGGGAGTATCTCCACAGCTCTGGACCCCTCTGTCATTCTTCTGTTTCCTTCACCTCTTCACAAGGAAACACATTTTTATCTTCTATTTGCTTCTCTGATACAGAAGGTAGAAAACCCTTTGTGCCCTTCTGAGTTCTATTCACAAGAGCTGCTGGAGCAAATTTGGCCTATGTGAAAGGGCTGCTTGCAGTGCTGGCTTTGACCTGTGACTTCTTTTATGACTTCTTGTGGTTTAAGTGAAGGTGGAAAGCTCCTAACCGCGGTGAGCTTTCCTACAGCGTGGGAGCCACTGTATTTCCTGTCTGATCTCAGTGTCATGTGCCTCAAAGGTGACCTAGATGCCTCCCCACTTGAGTTACGGAGCTCAGGAGACAGAAGGACACTTGCTGAAGACAGTGAGACTCGTCAAGCAGCTGATTTATGCCTGGGCATTTCTGTCCCAAAACACTCTTGGAAGAGCTGATGCTCAGACTGCTTTAAGCATTCTCAGAGCCTGGCTGGACAGTAGAAGATATGGAGGTTAATGGAGTAACCCAGCTAGGTAACAGAAAGTTTCCAGAGCATGGTAAGCAGCTCTCCTCCAATGGAGGAGTAAAGTTTCTGTTGGAGCAATATGGAACAGGGAGGATTTGTTAACAGAAGCCCTCCATTGATGGAGATATCAACCAAGAAGCTTGAAGAGTTATGTGCAAAATTTCCTGTATCAGTTCCCTCAGGAGATCCCTAAATGAGGCTGGAGCACTGCAGAGACAGCTGGAGCCTTCATAGGCTGAGTGCTGCTCTGCAGGTGATCTCTTATTCTGTTCTGGGAAGCCTTGGAGTGGCCTCCACAAAACTGTGTGTGATCATTCGTTCCTTCAGCACTGAAAGGGGAAAAAAACAGCTAAAAGGAAGTGAGTCTGCTGCCCATCTAATGCTGAGTGAAGTCAACGGCAAGACTCCCATTGATAGCAAAGGGTTTTGGATCAAGTCCCCAACTAGCCAGTTGGGCGGTTCCAGGGTACTCATGACTTCCTTCTGATCCTAGGTGCAAACTAAAAATCTGCTAGAAAAGAATATGAACGTATCATGTTTTGTGGCACTCCTACACTTATGGAAATTAATTTGACAAGTTGCCTATTAAATGATCAGTACAGCAAGAGGAAATGAGGTAATGACATTTTTTTCTAGTGGGTCTTTAAATGCTCCGTAGGTTAAACTGTAAAGAGAGGTCAATTGAAACAATTCTGTATCCAGGTTTGGGCACTGGAAGATTTCCCCCTCCTGTAACCACTCTTGAAAATGAGTGGTTGCAGGATGGGGAAGCTCAATTAAAATGGAAAAGAAAATGGTGCTCTAGGGATATCAAGGTTCATGTGCTTGCTTTTAATATACTTCTAAGGTCCAGCAAAAATGAGCCTGCTGACATCAGCATCTTTTTCTTTCATAATTCTCCCTTGTTGCCAACTTACTTGATGCTAAGGGCTTTAGCTCCTGATATGGAATAATATAATTAAAGTGGCTTCTTCAAGAGCACTGAGCTAAGGCCACTGAAATCAATGAAAAAAACTCCCCATTGATTTCAATGGAAGCCATAGTTCAAACAAACACTGAGCACCTTTGAATTTTTTTGATTTGTGTGAGGAGGGAGGAAGAAAAAGCAAATTATTTCCCTAATGTCTAGTCAGTCGATTCAGAATAAATGACAAAGCTGGTGGATCTCATTATTCTAGGAAGGCAATTAGGAAGAGACCAAAAATATCTAGCTGCCTGTTGGTTATCTTCTCAGAACTGCACAATGTGGGCCATAACATTACAGGTATTCAAAACCACAACATTCAGTGTGCTTCATAATTTTTTTCCCCCAGAGGATACTACAGATAATGTCATACTATCAACAACCTGTTGCTCTGAGGTTGGCATGTATGCAAGAGCTCAGTTGTTACCAGTGTCTTAACACAGCAGAGCACATGCTGCTCCATTCAGCAATCTTGTCCTACACATTGTTTGGATATGGAGATGTTTTATAAAGGCTGCTTTTGGCAATCCTGCTTTGTGAGTAGTCCCCAGATAGGCTTAGTTTACAAGCTGGCAATACAACCACTGGTCATGTTTGGAAACTCAAATCTTATTTGAGTATTGTAAGTGTAACATGGTTGATTTCCTTTCAGAGTTGTAGGACATGGCAGAACCCAAATCAGAAAGAGATGGCAAAGACATCTCAGATCAGGGAGTCTACCTGGAGGATATGACCCTTCAGTTTAGTCAATATTGCACTAGCCTAGATGTAGGTTTGTATCACTGTGTGTAAGGGTGGAGAAATAGTCAAATCCCCAAAGCTCACGAAGCTTAGGAACTTTAACTTTGTTAGCACTGTATCCACCTGCTGGGACTGCAGCCTGTGTACCAGCACCTGAGCGGGCTGCTTGGGGATGTTCATCAGCATAGCCACAGCAGTACGACACCCAGTCTGGTTTGCAAAATCCAGCCAAGCAGCGGGATAAATACTTGGCTAATTGAGCTGAGCTGAGCTCCATGCTAACATGGTTGTGCAACTCAGGAGTTTCTGAGCAAGCTATTTTGAAGCCAAAGTAGGCAGTTCCACAAGGTAGTATGTATGACAGCTTTAAGCCAAACAAGTTGCCATGGAAGAAATGGCAAAATTAAAGGAAAAAAATCTGTACTTAGTTATGACAGAATCTTGAACATGATACCCGATAGATTCATGAAGAGGTCCTCCTAAGTGCTAGAGTGAGTTTTGGGGAGGCCTCGCAACAAGCTACTGATGGATTTCTGAGGACAGTAATTCTCTAGTCTTTCCTTGAGATTGCCTGATCAGACCCCCTACCTCTTTCCCTACTCCTAAAGTGCGGTTGTTCTCAAAGTGTCTTGTTCTCTCGAGAACCAGAAGAGGTTCAAAATCCTCAGGACCATGGGCCATAATCCAAGATCCACCAACCTCAGGCCATACCTTTCCAAGGAGCATTAAGGAAATTTTAAAATGATGACTTCTAATTATTTTTAATCAGAACTGTTATCCAAGACAATATGTAAACAAACTTCTGTGTTAAGAAACATGACACTTGCCAAAATGTGCACTCTTCCCCGGCCAAGAAGAAAAATCAAAGTACTTAAATGCATGTTTCTAGGCATCTGACACCCATTCTAATCCCACGCCACTGTGTGGCACACTATTCTGCTAGCAGGGCATATGCTACTAAGAAAACTAGTTAATGTGGCTGGTGACATTTTCAGTCAGCTGATCTTTCTAAGCAGGCCGCTGTGACAGGGCCTTTAGCTTTCATTGTATGAAGCACTCACATAGTTATCTCTTGCGGACCAGCCTGGGTAGAGCTGCATGTGAAGTTGCCGTTCCTTCCGAGCCAGTTCATAGTACTTGGCCTGCTCCTCCCGCGACAGTGCATGCCACTGCAACAGAAACAGTTGTGAAACACCTCAGTGCATCTCATCATTAGCTCGCCTTGCTTTAAGAATCAGACAGGCCTTTCCTTTTAACTCTGCTATACTCATTATTTGCTATGTAACTCCTCAGATGTTAACTGAGTTTCATCTGGGGCTGCATGTTCACAGTGACTTAAGGAAAATGTAGACAGTTTCCCATGCAAACTCCTTGTTACTTGCATAGGAACTAATAGGTCATGCAAGGCACACCCTTAAATTTCTAGTGGTATGGCTGATCAGCTGTGCCAGGGGAGGAAGGAGGTTCTTTATATAGCAGCAGGAGTAAACTGCATTCCCTCATCTCCTTTCTGTCCCCACTCGCTGGTTTTTTATGGCTTCCTCCTGACTCAGAAGAACATAGCAATACATTCACAAGCACAATGCCCCACAGTGTCCATAAAATTAAGACCCATGTTAAGGTGATCTGTTAGGAGCAGACCAGTGATGTACAAACCATCTGATTTGCTGTCCCCTGCCCTCACATCAAAAGAGGTTGCTAAACATAACCATTTCAGTGACACAAAATAAAATATCATTTACCCCAAAGGATCTGAATTGTCATTTAAATCCAATTAATAGTGAAGCTCCCTGCCCCCATCACTCCTAATGCATTCATTCTGGGGAAGAGCTAGTACGCTGACTGTGTTTTTTAGGAGCTGCTGATCTGTGTGGAGTATTACAGGTAACAGGCTTTTTATGAAATACTGCATAACTTCTCCCTAGGGGCCTGTAAAGAAAAATGCCACCACTCAAATATACAGCCATACCACTCCTGTTCTGTGCTCTTACCCTCCTTCCTAAAATCTGGTTGATAGCTGCACTTTCTTTCAGGGTGCACTCGGCAATGACTTTTGCCCGCATCTCTTTCATATACAACATGAAAGCATTCAGGGGCTTCTTGATAGTTGGCTTCTTGGCTTCCTTCTCTCTCTTTGGTTCTGGTTGGGGTTTCCTTGACAGAAACAAAACAACACTCAATAGCAATAGGACTCCTGTATCTCAACTAGTGTATGTGAACACAGTGACAAGAAATAGATCCACTTGAAAATATTAAGGACTATCAAACAGGACTTGAAACCTTGACTAATGAGCATATAGCACAGCTGGAACCTGGTCTCTTCTGGTGATCGTGATCATCGTTACACTGGCACCTTTTTCATAACTGGTGGAACAATACGGTGCCCCGAAGTCTGCTTAGCTAACTTACTGAGTTGCTGTTCACGGATCCCCTCCCCACACAAGCAGTGACAACAATAAGATAGACTAGGACTAAGGAAATCACGGAGTAAGGAACTCTTTTTAATAGTCTGCCATTTTAAGACTTACATGTTCCGGTCATAATGCTCCATTTCCTGTTTTCCAGAGTGGGGCACTATGGCTGGATGAGGGATGCCGGTGGTGTGCATTCCCGAGCTCAGCATCAGAGGGTGTGTAAACCTGCAATGGAGAGCGTGTCAGAGATTGCTGAAATATTGCTTTGGGGTGCTGGTACATTTGGCTCTGAAAGGTCAGTTCATTTGCAGGTCTGAGCCCCAGCTGAAGGACGTTACAGAAGAACAGTGAAGAGCAGCAGGAAACAAATGGCTGTGCACAGCTCTTTCCACTGGTTTACTCTTTAGTCTGATGGAGAAGAGTGCTCTGTCTCACTAGGTGGCACTCTTCGAGTTGTTTTTAACGTTACAGAAACAAATGCTTAAGCAACAGTACATGTAAAGCAAACGTCCCAGATGCATCCTAGTAAAGTGTCTTCCTGAAATAATGAGCCTGTGCAGAAGTGCCCCTGTGCTACCCTTGGAAGCTTGCTGCAGTGCTGACGGGATATCTGCCAAGCGTGATTCAGGACTTTCCTACAGCCACTGCCACTCTAGCTAAAGCGTGTTTGGCAGTTGCTTTAACCTGATGAATGAAACTTATAGAGTTTCAACATTAAATGAAAACGACAGGCAGGTGGGCTTTTTGCCTTCATTTCCTGATGCTTTTCTTTGGCTCTGTCCAGCAATACATTCTTGCTGTGCAATCTTCAGTCATGACGACAGTGGGTGTGTGAGTAACAGAAGCAACCAAACTGACTTGGACAAGCATTCAGACTCTTGCCTGGTTACTGTTCTGTTGGGGGATTCAATAAAATTCCTTGCAACACAATCTATCCTGGCTGCAATCCTAACTGACTTTTATTTAAAGAGTTGGTCAGCTCCTTGGCTCTCCATTGTAACAATATTGTAAGTGCTACAGCAGAAAACCAAAGTGAAAAACAGCCTATGGGTTTGACAGCTTAGGATCATCCCACACCTTTATTTTAAAAGAAAAGGCATGAGTCTGAACATGAACCAAACAGCATCTCTTGGAGGTGCATCCTGCCCCAGCAGTGTTATCCACCAACACAGAAGTGAGATCATGAGTGGTCTTACAAGCTTCGTTGGCACGGTACCTGGCACTGTATAACGTGCTGGCCAGTGCAGTCTGCTTTGCCAAACTTGCCACTTAACAACTGCAGTTTGTGATGGCAGAATTGCCCAGGGGAGATGAACAACTGCTGGTGAGAGGTGTTGGCACAAAATGAAAAGGCGTTTAATTTCAACCCCTGGCAGTCTGAAGCTTGATCCTTGTCTGACAAGGTGTACTTTCTCCTTGGCAGCGGTACTCCAGACCTGCCCCACTCTGTAGAATATAAACAAGAATGGCAGCAACATGTATGATGACAGCATCTGGCCTCGTCGTCTAGTCTTTATCATTGATCTTAGATGCTACGATAGAAAAAAGCTGCCTCAGACGGCATGTGCAAAAGTCAGGGAGTGCGACTGGCAGTATTTTCCTGCTGTTATCCTAGGAACAATCCCTGTGAAGTGTCTTCAATGAATATTATCCCTTATGTATCACGACAACATGTAGCAGAAGCAAAAGCTGGAGATGCGAACAAATGCTGCTTGCACATAAATTCCCAGAGGGCCTGGTCTCTTCTAGCTGGAGCATCTCATGATCAACAGAAACCAAAGCACTGGCTGCTAGCTGAATGAAGAACACAAGTGGGCCTAATGGACTTTTTACACTTAATGTCCAAGCCTGTTTCGAGGTTAGTATGTAAAGAATGACAAGGCATAATTAGGACTACTTGTCCTCCAGGTGAAATCATTGGGAACTGCACGTGCAGGTTTGGCCCTTGTCTGTTCACAGATTTGCTAGAATAATGTACACAGAGGAATACAAGGTACACAGTGTCCCAGGCCTGTGCTGCACAATGCCTTTGGCACTGCCAGATCCTCTGCTGGTACAAACTGGTAAAGCGCCGTGTGAAATCAGTTGCTCTACGCTGTTCTGCATCAGCTAAGTACTTGGCCTTTACAATTCTGCACACATTTTAAAACTCCCGCAACAATCAGCAAGGAATTGGTTCATAAAAATCCAGGGAAGCGGCAACTCGTCATCCTCACAATGGAATGTGGTAAAGGGCTACAAGAAATGCACAATTTAAGAGGCTTAAACTGTCAACCTTTCCTGGAGTGGCAGAGACAGGTAAAACTACCTGTGCTCAGTGAGGGCTCTGTCCCATTTCACCAAAAGCCTGAGAACAAATACAAGTCCGTCTCTGCACAACTTAATTTAGTCCAGGATACTTGGGGAAGGAGTATTTCTATCTCTGTGGTAAAAATAAGAAGTGTGTTTGGCATGGCAGCAGTGAGAACTTATCACACTATTTATTCCATTTTCCTACTGTTGAGGCTGAGGCTTAGGGTATTTCTGGACTTCTACTAATTAAAACTAAATCCTTGCGTCTCCTCCATGAAACCTTGATATTCCTGCAATTCTTTTCCTTTCTTTTTTTCTTTTTTTTTTTAATAAGGCATTTGACTAAAGGAAATGCTTTTCCTGTTGGTGCTATCTGGAAGTTTGGTGGCCCCTTTCTGGCTTTTTGTAGTCTCCTGCAAGCTCAGCTGGCACAAACTGCAAGCTGTGAGACCAGCAGAGCTGCTGTCCTGTCTCACACAGCTCCTACTTACCTGGAGAAAGAAGCCCCAGCAGAGAGCGCTGACGAATACGGCTGTCTAAATCCACATGACGGGAGCGGATAGACAGACTGGCTCTGCCTGGGATCGGGAAGAAAGAGTCCATAAAGCATCTACATGTGTGGCTTCTTCTAAAATTACCCTCCTTAATTGGACTCATTTAGCAATGGTGAGTTCCAAAGCCCTAGTTGCTCTAGTTAGCTTACACTACAGGCCTCTCTCCTCCTTCCTTTGTGCCAGAGGCAATTCAGGATCTAAACTTCAATCGGAGATGGGTCTGGACTGCAAAGTTTGGGTCTGAATCTGCATCTGATCTTCTCCCAAATGTTAACTAAGCAGAAGTAATGTTTCAGTTGTATTAAAGCATTAGTTGTGAAATGATAATAAGCTATGAAAGCATGTCAAAAAGTGAACGTGAATTATTGTAGGAAAAGGTGTTTAGCAGTGCAGACCTCAACCAACCAGAGTATTTGCAAGGTGTATAAAATGCTGCACAATACCCTGGGAAATACTGAGGTTCAAAATTGGTCTACACCAGGTAAACAGAAGAATGACTGAGTATTCAAGTACCTGCCCTGGTGATTATGGAGTAGCACATTTCAGTACACCTTTAAGACCATAAGGGACATAATACTCTACAGTGCCTGACTTGAAAGACTCTGATTTCCCTGGTGCTCACTTGGTATAGTTTATTTGAAGAATATGACTTCAGTGGAGCTATGTTGATAGAAGTTAGCTGAGGGTTAGGCCCTCTTTTTCTTAAAAAAAGCAAAACAAGCATCCCATCCTTACAACTGTGTATGTCAGATTTGGGTCTGGAACCTATTTCAGTTATTAGAGCACAAGCAAAGTGTGTAAGCAATGTTTTTAATGAGCAAGAACTACTTGTTTCATATTTGGGCAGCTCAAAACCCTTCCCAGAGTCAATCTTTGACCCCCTTTGTATAAAATGTCTCATCTCTGGCCTGGAGTTTGGCATGAGAAGTTTGAAGCCCAAAGGAAAAAAACCAGGAGAAATAGCTCCAGTTGTTTTTCATGCTTCTTAATATAAGGGTTATCATTATTGATCACAGTCCCGAGAGAGACTGGGATTCTAGGGGAGTTTTGTGTGCCTAGGTGCTGTTCAACCATGTCTCTGCTGGGAAGAGCGATCAGAAAGCCATTCTCTGGAAGAATGAGGTTTTTGTTTGCCACTCGTTGAGTTGCTCTATCTCGGCTCGAATGAAACCTAAAAGATCTGTCTGTATTAATGTCAGTAAACATGGTTAAGAACTGGCCTCTGTTTACAACCTGCCAGACAGAAATCCCTCTCACACTACTTAGAAGTTAGCAGTGTATAAACATGCCAACAAACAGCCAACTGCTACAATATATCAGGAAGCCTAAACAACCTTTGAAGTTTAACATTACTGCCCCAGGGGTGAGAAAACATTCAAAGTTAATCCAGAAGTGACATTCATTACTCCAGAAGCCAAGATATTGCAATAGAAAAGGATCTTGGCATTCAAGTCTTTACCTAAAGTGATTCTGACACGCAAATTAATTCGATTGCAAAACCAACCTGTGATTGTTGGGAATGTGCAAGTCAAGTGTTTTCTCCCAGGATGGGACAGCAGCTTGGGAGACAACAAGAGGTGGGGGGAGGAGGGGTGAATTAATTAAGAGACACCCCCTCGCCTAGCACAAAATTCAGCTGGGGTCCTGTACAATGGTAAGATTTACAGGGCTCTTGGTTAAGGTGTGTTCTCAGGCTCCAGCGATCAAACTTGCTGGATTAGACTAACTGGCTTTCATTTGAAGTTCCTGACTGTCATCTGAGCTAATTAAAGGGAGAGAGTTATTGCAGCTACCCTCCCCAAAACACTCCGCAGGTACAAAAACCACTTCTGCTGAACTCTTGTTAGGTAGCTTGCTAAGGAAAAGCCGCTTCCTGTATTACGACCGCTTGGCGTTTGAAGTCAGCTTCATTCCAGAACAGTGAACTTGAAGAACTGTACACATACCACAGCACTTGCTGGCATGAGGGGTCCCTGTAGCATTCCTCCTCCTACATAACTCATTTCAACACTGTTTAAGCAGCCCAACCTCTGTAAAAGCATACACTGGTGACCAGTCCCTTGAGCGAATAGTCTGAAAATATCATTTGCCTGCTGCATGCCCCTGAAAAGGGCAGATGGAGCTGATAACTTTGTGGCTCAGAAATATATGACATGGGGGTTGTACATGCAAGCAAAAGGCTTAGGCAGAGACAGCTGTGAACCATCTTTGCTTCTGTGAACTTCTGAAATGCAGAGAACTGTTGCTGAAATAATTCAGAGGCAGTTCTGATTGGAAACTTCCAATTTTTACTTAAAAGGCAAGGTATATTTGCACTTTATAGACTAACCAAAGTGCATGTGTGTGTGCAATATAGAAAAATAGCACAAGTCTTTGTGAGCTGAAGCTCATCTCTTCAATAATTTTTACCTAACAGAAATTTAAACTGAAGTTTGGGATTGAGCACTTTGTACAGAGGCCCAGCACAGTATTTCTATTGGTCAAGCAGACTGATGTATTTAACAAAACTCTTTTCCGCCTTTTTAACGCATATTTGCTGTTTGAAGTGATGTCTGCTCTTTGGGGCTGCTTGTCTTGATTTTTGTTTCTCCGTATCTGTTTATTAGTCATTATTGAACATATCTGAGCAATTTGTTTAAAGGTGTCAAACCATATCAGATGCTAGAGGTGCTGTTAGGAGACTGAGCTTCCTGTCTGACCAAAAAGCAAACAAACTCTTTGATAAACAGATTTTTCCCATGTCCCCAAGGCCATCTTTAACAGCTTCCCATTTGAAGAGTAGGCTTTGCATTTGGCAAGCTAGCTCTTCTCTTCTAACAACTTCTTTCATGTTACAGCACAGTCACTCCTGTACTTGTCTTTCCTGAGGATGAATCACATTGTACAAGGAGTTAAATCATTGTCCAAGAGCAGCATATGCAGCACAGAAAGCCAAATGTAATCTCTTTGTAGCCAAACGTAGATCTAAGACCTCCATCTGTTTCTTTGTGGTTAAATATTTGGAACTCTATATTCAGGAGCAAAAATCCAGTTGTTTCATGATTTTATTTTTAATGGCTCACCCTTCATCTTGTGATGCCTCTTTATAGATATACATGTCTGTGCTAGGGTCATGCCAGACAGCATCGTGCAGGAAACGGCTGTCTACATGCTGCTATACATTTATGATTTTCCCCCTAAGATTCAGTACTTCACATGTCCGAATGATCAGTGACACAGGTTTTTAAACTGTCTGCTACAGCTGTAATCTTGCCTTGCATCTCTTTAATTTCTAGACATTACCAGAAACTGGTCTGACAATAATTGAAAATGTTAATCTACTCTAAAATGTAAACATGGTACTTCCTGCCTCCTCAGCTCTGCTCCCTGTGTACATTCAAAGTCACCCTGTTCATGTGATAGTGATAGTTAGAAAGAAGGAAAGTATTCAAAAAAATGCTAATGGTGTTACTAGGCCAGCAGGAGTGCTGGATGCCAAGGGGTCACTGATTGGGTAAGTGAAGGAAGCACACCCAGGGTTGCTAATGCTTATGACTGTTTCATGCATCACTGGATTTGAGCTGGGGTTGTAGCAAATCTTCCAATTAGGTCAGAAGCTCCTGGTTAGGGGAAAGCCCCTCTAACTGGATGCCTAGCCAACTTCTGTCTATGGGCTGATGAAAAAATTAGGGATGTGAGACTCTTCTCAACAGAGGGATGTGGGAGCAGGAAGAACTTAGCAGCTCCCTCTCCCCCACCCATACCAATGGGATGTCTCTTCTTTGCTGTTCCTCTACCACTTCCTGCACAATCTGGCCTGGGAAGGGGGGCAGAAGGTGGCCAAAATGTAGGTTCCTCAGGCCTAGGGACTCGGTTAGGAACTCCCGTGGCTGTCGGAGCAGAGATGACGGGACATCATTGATGGAGGACATAGAGGAGCAGCAGAGGAGGATGTGGGGATAGACTTTAATGGGAAACAAATCAGGGATCAGGATGAAGGAATTGATTTGGAGGTTGGGGAGGCAGAATGAATCCAAAGGCAAAAGGGTGAGAATTCCCACAGCAAAGGACAAAAAACAAATTCAGGAGTGCTGGCAACTGTGTATCACATTTGCTGGAGGTTGGGCAGAGTTAAGGAATTGACAGACTAAAAAAGCACAACACAATCTTACAATATAGGGGGGAGCTCATGATTTTGGGTGAACAAGGTGAATTTCAGACATCTGGGAGCAGCAATACTGCATGTGCTGCAGGATTAGGGGAGGGATCAATCCAGGTACTCAGCGGGGAGAGTTCTTTGCCACACCGTGTTTTCTGAGGGCTGGTGGATTGCTAAAGAATAATGGCCCCTGTTGAAAGCCAGAGCAGGAGAGAGAGAACTCAGTTACAGGCCTTGAATGCAGCTAGAACAAGACGGACAATAGGTTGCTGACCCAAGCAACCCTTTCTTCCTCATCTAATCCACATCAGATACAATGATAGTAGGCATTTCAGACTGCAGAGAGGTAACGGCATGGAGTCTGGACTCCGAATTTGACTTTCCAGGGCCAAGTCCCTTATTTCTCCATGCCTCTGCTTTCCATCTCTAATGTGGAGTAATGCACTTCCCAGTTACACAGATTGCAGATGAGAGCTCATTGCCAGAGGCAGGGGTAAGGATAGTGTAAAGAGCAGTAAATTCTGGTGAACAAGATTAGTGAGAGCAGAACAACACCCTGTTGCTTACCAAGGCCATATGGAGTGATCCAGTGTCAACACTTACCAGCCCATGGAAGGTGTAATCTGTCCAACCCCACCAGGAGGCAGGGAGTAAAAACCAGGGATCTCTGAGGTTTGGGAAGGACGGTGTACACCTAGGGGAGGGATCAAGAGTCAGTTAGAAGAAGAAATTCAGGCAGCACTAGCATCCCCACAGGATTAGATGTCCTCGAGCCCTGCATTGCCCTTTATTTCAGGGCCAGTGATTAAGTCTAGATTCGTGAACTACAAAAAAAATTTGTGAAGAAAATGGATTCCTCCCAAAATTCACCCCTTCCCCACTGATTCCATCTCCCCGGCACAACCCTGCACCGGGGTGACGCACAGCCATATTTCTGCAGAACATATAGTCAGTCTTGGAGGCAAAGTTGTTTGAGCACAAGGGTCACCCCTGGGCTCCTTGGTTTCCAAACACTACTCTGATTCTGAAAATGACTTGGTTTCTATTTGTTTCATTCCATTAGCTGCTTTTTCCCTCCCAGCCCATCAGAGAAAAGTAACATGGATCACACCATTCAGGATCAAGGCCTTCCTTTCCTGCGAGCCTCTGCCTTCTTTTTCCAATGCCTTTGTCCATGAATTCTCCTCAGGGCTATTTTATAAGGATGTGTTGCCTTTGAATTAGTTTGAAAGAAGCCTTGGTTTTCAGGATCTCATTTGTACTGCTCTGCTGGTGCCATGGGACCATAAATGTGGCATACATGGCTAGCTGAGAATTGCTCTTCCATGAAGGAAATCCCTGGGTGTGCAGCACAATTCATGGTATGGGCGGCACATCCAGAGGAAAATGGTTGGGGCCAGTGTGTCTTCACACATCAACTATTCCTGAATTTCAGACCAGATTCTTGTAGCATTGGGCTGTGGGGTATTGCTAGAGAATCCCTGATGCCAGCCCTAAACTTGAAGCCACAAATGGGGAACTGGAAAAGTGAAAGAGCCCTCACCTTTGACTTGGAAGAGGCTCGCATGATAGCATCTAGCTTTATGTTGCTAAATCTGAAGATGCACATAGTGGTGAAAGTGTCCAGCTGTGTGTTCCCCATAAGGGAAGAAAGAGGGAGACTGTGGTGTATGGTAAAAAGTGAGCTGTTGCCAGTGACATGTCATTTAGTGGTGAAAAGTTGTGAAGTGAAATTAATGGTTTTCTCAACACACCGCTGACCTCTGTCTAGCGAGCTGATGAGTGTAAGATGCTCAGGATCCTTCTAGCTGTGCAACTGCCAGCTGGGGATTTCTGTTAAATAGTTTCTACAAATACTGATTTTGAAGGCAAGTACATCAGAGGTGAACGCCAGGATCTAGGGGAGCAACTCTTGAGGGACGATGAGGACCAGTGGGCATAAGCTAACAGAAGGTAAATTCAGGCTAGATATAAGAGAAAACTTTTTCTCTGTAAGGGTCACCAGAATTGGGAACACACTCCTGGCAGAGGTGGTACAATCACCCTCCCTGGAGGTGTTGAAGATGAAGCTGGACAGGTACCTTGCTGAGCTCATCTGAGCCCAATAACTTCATTCTCATGGCGGGGGACCGGACTCGGTGATCTTACAGGTCCCTCCTGGTTCTATGATACTTCTGCAAATACTATTTAGCAAATATATGTGACCAATATATTTTCCAACATTGAGATCTATTTTTAGGCAATCTGTAAATTGAACATGAAGTAAAATACATGAAATTAGTTTTAATGAACTTTTGTAAATAATTAGGATGTCACCGACTCCAAGCACCTTAACAGAGCGTAAATACAAGGAAATTGCAACCAAATGAAACGTATAGTGAGAAATTAGCTAAGGATGAAGAGGCAGTATTCGGAGCCTGATAAGATTAGGCCACAGTTCTAGATCGAACCAAAGACAGGAGCTGGGTTAAATGATACCAGCATCTCTTGAGAGTTGGGCCCTGAACAGATTAATGTAGCACAGAAGGGTGGTCTGTGGCTTGAGTACCAGCTTCTAACTCAGGAAATCCTGGTTCAGTTCCCTGATCTGCCACAGATTTCCGGTGTGACGCTGGCCCAGTCAGTATTTTAATCCCACATGTTTCTCAGTTCTACATCTGTAAAATATTTTGCTAGGTGTGGTGTGAGTATAAATGTCTTAAAGATGGGAAGACACTCAAGGCCTTGGCTCTTTCATAGAGCCAAGATAGAGGCAGGTAAGATAGAGGCAGGCCAGCCCAGCACTTGCTGTCAGTTTAGAGAGAGGTCTGAATCAGAAGCTTTTGCTGTGGATGGGTCAGGTTGGGTCAAGATGGTATTGAGGAGAGATCTCTGGTCTTACCTGAAAAAAATATAGAACCCCCTCCTCTAGTTTTTGAGTATATGCAGAACCCAAACCAAAGGGATGAGAGCTTCAAATTTGAGCCATTTACAACAAAAAGCAGAAGGCTCTGATTTAAGGTTCTGGTTCAGGCCTCTCTATGCTCCCGTCTACTACCCATGCAAACAAGAAGCTGGAATCTGGCCCTGAAGGATACTGACTTCTGCATAAATCCAGGAGAGAGCATTCCTGAGTTCACTGACCTGCAACAGAGGCATAAAGGACAGCTGCCAACCAGTGGGGCAGGTTGGTCCTACACTGTTTTGAGCTTTACATGCCATTATTAAGGTCCCAAAACACATTCATTGGCTAGACTTTCAAATAACCTTGAACTGTCATGGGGCTGTATTCTGCCAGCAGTTTTCAAGGGTAGCCTGAAACGAAGAGCTTTGTTACATCCTCTCAGGAGCCAAGTGTAATTTTTATATATATATATATATATATATATATATATGCATTTATGCTACTTCAAAAAGCATTCTTGATTTCTATTTTTTTCCTAGCAGAAGCTGTAAGACCTATACTTAATTATCTGTGGAAGTCAAAGGCAATCTCAGATTTAATTGTTTTTTTCTTTTAACATGTGGTACAGTATATGTACATTCTGTTTCTCTAATGACAAACAACACACACATTGAAATG